CACCACCCACCCACCACCCACCCAGAGCTCGCCAGGCTAAAGTACCAGCTGTCGAAGAGGTACTTGCTTGACATGACGAAAGAGGCAGCTCCAAGAACGAGCGTCTGGTGCACGACCCCCGGCTGTGGAGCGCTGGCGAGGCCGGGCGGTCATGTACCTCGACGACAGGAACTACTTCGCTACCTACATACCATACCTACACTACCTAGGTACCTACGGGCGCCGAGGCGGAGCCCATGCGACGCCCGGGGGTCGCAAAGGATGACCTGGAGTCCGCGGCCGCAGCAGCAGCATGACGGCCGCCAATCTGTACAGATTACTCTACTCTGCTGCAGTCTGAGCATCATCAATGTGAACAATTGGCCATTTACTTCCAAGTTCTTCTCTATTGTGACTCTTGAGGCTCTGCTATTTTTGCCGCCCTCCTGGTTAGTTCGCCCGCAGAGCTCTTCTTGTTTGCATCGTCGAGCTCAAGAGCCAATCCGTTCAAGCACGCAACTTTGGCTAGCACCAAAAGGCCAGGCAGAGTTCAGGTTTGCCACACCACAAGCAAAGTACTGTAAGTATGTATGTACTGGAGCTCGCGCCTAGTTCCAGCTTCCAGAACCTATAGCGCGCCCTATAAGCTGGGTCGGCTCACTGGCGATCGCTGTGCTCCCTGCAGGCGAGCTTCTGGGGCGTGTGGCGTCTCGAGTTGCGCGTGAAGGGCCCCTTTGATATAACCAGAAGTTGGCGGAGCATGAATGCAATCTATGCCTTTGAAGAGCTCTTTTATCATGGTATTCGGGTTTCCTTTTTTGTAATTATTTTTCCTTTCTTTTGTTCCGTAGTTTCTTCATTTATCATGTTTCGTCAAGCTCGAACCCTGCTGCTTCATACTCTCCCTCATTCTGTCTGTCACAGGTCTTGCCCCTCCACAGCCTGGTAGTGGTGGCTTTTCTCCTCCACTTATTGCAACGAGGTCCAGGGACTTGGGTGTTCCCTGCTTTTTTTCTTAGGAGTGGCTCTTCAGGGTCCGGGGGGTCTCCCTCCGCATTGGTACATACATGGGTACGGAAGAGCTTGTCACTTGACCACATGGGAAAAAAAGTCTGCAATTACCCC